GTCCCGCCACTACCAATCCTCAATTCAAACGGCAGCCCGTCCTTTTTCCGCGGGTCCCACTTGACTCACACGCCACACACGTACACGCCGTGTCGGATAGCATAGACGCCGTCCTATAAAGGCGCCGTCAGGCGACACTCCCCACACTCGACTCATCGTCTCCGTCTCTCACAACCCAAACCAACGATAACAATGGAGGAATTCAAGAATAGTTACAGGAGCAGGAGAAAGATAACAATGGAGGAAATTGGAGATTTCAATCGGCAAGTTTGACACGGTGCTGTTTGTTCTCTTTCAACGCGCCACTATAACATCAGCCACGCGCCACCTCCGTTGAAAATTGCTGCCACTTCTTGTTCCTGTTCGCTCTTTATTAACTTTTTCTTTTGATCTGTTCTTCTTTCTTTCTACTCTCTGTCCTGTTGTTATCCTACTCTTTTCTTGCTTTATTCGTACTCTCTCTCTCTCTGTATATATCGCCTCTATGTACAGATAACTCTACCATTTTTGCTATTTCTACCTTCTGCCTGTGTGCCTTCGAGATCTGGGGATCAGAGGAGCGACACAGAGGAGGAGGTGGTTGGGGGGAGGGTTTGTTCTTGTATTTATGAATAAGGGGTGTGTGATGAGAAGAAGATGGGAGGGGTCACCTCATCGATCGCCGCCAAATTCGCTTTCTTCCCGCCTAATCCGCCATCTTACAGAGTTCTAGAGGACGAATCATGCGGCGGCCGCCTCTATATCCCGGAGGTCTCTCAACGGGACGATGTTGACGTACTCAAGCTCCGTACACGCCGCGGCTACGAAATCGTGGCCGTGCACATCAGGCACCCCAAGGCATCTGCTACTCTGCTATATTCTCATGGAAATGCGGCAGATTTGGGCCAGATGTTTGAACTCTTCGTTGAATTGTGTAATCGTCTCCGCGTTAACCTTATAGGGTAACCCCGTCTCTTCTCTATTTATTTTATTCGTTAGTTTCTTTTGTTGGCTTCGTTACTAAAGTTAACTAGAATTCCTTTGGGCTTGTCTGAGCGAGCTAATTCTAGGCGGATTTTTGGGTCTGATACAATATTCTACGGTTTATATAGACTTGAAGGCTTTTTCTGGGTACTGCCTTTTTGGGGGGATTATTTATTAGGAACAGACTTTATGGTGGGTGTACTTCTGGCGAGTTTCTGATTTTGGCGAATGTGAAATTTGACTATAACCTTTGTGTGTAAGATATGGATTTTGATGCGTAAGTTTGCTGCTGATATAATATTGTTTCAGTAGTACGGGAAGGTATTTTAATGGCCGGATTTAGTAGGACTGTTGTTTAAACTGAAGTCTAAGTTCACTGTGGTTTGAGTACTTGTTTTTGGAAAGAAAATCGTTGCCATCTTTATGCCAACTACTTGGAAGAATGTTCGAAGAGAAGAATTAATTGGTTTTTGATGTCTTGCGAATCAATGTAGGCCTTACTGAAGCAATGTGGAGGAAAATGGTTAGTTGAAAAAAAAAACCTTTTTTGATGGTTGTTCGTGTTGATCAAGAGTATGCAGATATGTTAGTGATATTATATTGTAGGGTATAATTTGAAGCTTTTCAGGTGCTTTGAACTGTGTTTCGAAACTATTCTACTTTATTGAAGGAAAGCATGGGATATTCTGGGCTTTACTGATTGCAAGAAGTAGTTGTTTTTGTAATTATTTTATGAAGAAGAATATTATTGGAAAAGAAGAGGAAGAAGGTTATGGGAGGACAGGGCATCCACCAAAAAAGAAAGTAGAAAAGAAGAGAAAGGGCTGAATCAGCAGAAAATAAGCAAATCAATAAAAGTCAGCCAACCAATCTGTATATTAAGTATATGTAGGAATTTCCTGATAAATCATAAGCCTTTTAACCCAAAGAGAGCCCAAAAAAGTCATCCTTTCCCAGAAACAATGAAGAAGATAAAAGGTCCTTAAAAATCCAGGAATTCCTCTTTAATAGAGAATCCAAAATCCAGCAAAGAGTGCTCCTCAAAATAAAGCAATGTCTCTTTTTCTTCTTTATACCATGGAGGGGAGAGGCAATAAGCACTTAAGGGATGGAGGAAAAGCCCAACAAACACCAAAGTATCAAATAAGTGAGTTCATAATCTTCTAACCCACATCATAGTGCAGACAAAGATGGTTATTGGATCTAAGCAGGTTATTAATATTGAGTTTGAGCCTATTAAGTGTTGCTATCCAAACAGATACCTTACTAGCAAAAACCTTTAAAAAGCAATTACTGATGAAGGTGATATTCTGAATGGCACATTTTTGGCATGAGAAGGTGAAGAAAGATTTGCAAATATAAAGACCCAATGCTTGGAAAGACCAAACTCTACAGTCAGTACCAGAAGAGAAAAATGGAAAAGTAAAGAAGTTGAAACAAAAAAGGCATATAATCAGTTTCACGGTCATTAAGATTTCAAAGAAATAATAAGTGTTTAGTGAGGCAATGTTTCTGGATTATAATTTTGTTTGAGTCGGAGGGATCATTTATGTGTTAATATCATGCAAAATGCTAGCATATCTAAATGTCAGTGGTCTAAATGAATGGAATATGAATAACTTCTCTCTCTCTCTCTCGTCTTTTCTTTCTTATTTAGAAAAATGTTATTGAAGGAAATCTGCTTAGTAGCTCAGATACACAAAATCGTTTGAATGTTTAATACAATTATTCTCTTGTTTCATCCATTGGGTTTTTGGCTAGCAAGCAGATACATTGGTTCGATCTCAGAGTCCTTTCTTGTAGATAGTTACGATTCCTATTATTTAGACAAAAGTCATTGATTGGTTGATTTTATTAATTGGCTTGTTGTCTGTTACATACATGTCTTTTTTTAATCAATTTCCTCACCGTTTTTATCCATGATTTTTTTCTAGGTATGATTACTCTGGATATGGACAATCTACTGGAAAGGTTAGATATTTTGCTTTTTGTTCCCCCTTGCTAATTACGGAATCATGTATCAGAAAGTTTTGTCCTTGTTTCTATTAGCTTTAGTCACTTAGCACAGGCAGCTGCATGTCCAACCTTTCAGATGATTGATTAGAGATTGAATTTCAAATTGCAATTCGCAGTTGCTTTCTTTCATGGTGCTAACATTGGTAGTCGTATGGGAGTTCAAATGAATGCTTTGAGAATAGATACATTTAAAAGTTTATGCATATATATATAATAATATATATTGTTATATTATTTCTTTTTTCTTATAATGAACTATATGTATTGTTTTTTTTTTCAAATTTTCATTAGAAGTGCAAGATGCATTTTTTACTGAATTTCCAAAACTTTGTTTATATGATTACAATGGAACTTAGCTTTCAGTTCTATTATTAGATTTCTTATTTTGTGCGGTGATCAAATGACTGAACTGGTGGATAGCACTTTCTTGTGAATACTTTGATATCAGGATGTGATTCACCTTGGACAGCAAATTCCTCAGAACTTGTCCACGAACATTAACTGTTCATGAAACTGAAAATTCAGTTTCTTTATTCCCTAGGTTTTCTACTCGACCTTTCTTGTACCCGCTGTTGTCATGTTGGATCTTTCCTTGTCTACTTCATGGCTTGGATTATTTATATTATACAGAGATACTTTTTATGTAAGCATGCAGACATGGGAAGCATGACAATTACATGTCTGCCTGCAGACCTGTATGCTTTTTGAAAAACAAAAATTTGAATCTTTTGGTGACAACATGCGAACTTAAACGCTAGTTAATTCTCATCACGTGCACCATTGAGGGTTACACCCTCTACAGTGTCATAGAAAGTTTATGATACTCCTTTTACAATAACAGCATTTTTTTCTTCTTGAAACAGCCGACTGAATGTAATACATATGCAGACATAGATGCTGTATATAAATGCCTGAAGGAGCAGTATGGGGTCAAAGATGAACAATTGATAATATATGGTCAATCTGTAGGTAGCGGACCCACTCTTGATCTTGCTTCACGTGTTCCAAACTTGAGAGGCGTGGTCTTACATAGCCCCATTTTGTCTGGGATGCGGGTTTTGTACCCTGTCAAACGGACATACTGGTTTGACATTTACAAGGTATGTTGGTGGCTGTTGGTTCTCTTTTGTTTTGTTTTCCTTCTTTTTTGGTTCTTGTCTCACAGATGGTGGCTCATGTTGCTTCTCGTTTCCAGAATATTGACAAAATCGGTATGGTGGACTGTCCTGTTTTAATAATTCATGTGAGTAATATTTCCTTTGTTCTCATTATTGGCCTGTTTTGGTTTGTAATATATATAATTTCTGATCAGAAACATTATTCTCTGAACATCAACTTCTTTCGTTACTTATGTACAAGATTTCTAATTTCATTTACTTCAGATGTTAGTGAGATAAGAAAAAATACAAATCCTGTGAGATGAGTAAATGGTGCAAGACGTTCCTGGTTAAAGTTCTTATTATCTATACTTGACTTTCCATCATTGCATGTGATATAAATTTTACAGGTATATATTATTTTAACTAGCTGAAAGATTTGCTATTATTTTTTCTTTTTTAACTGTATTACTGATTGATATGTTATACTTTCAGCAGCTTAATGTTCTAACATGTTTCTTCAAATCAATTGATGATTAGTTTAAATCACTTTTGCCTCACAGATTGTTTTTGCTAGAAAGTTTTAGCATGGCAGGATATTTAGCGCATGAAGACATCTTTTCTTGTTTTTATATTTTTTACCTCAGTTCTCCAACATGATTAAAGTCAAGGATATGGGTTTTCTCATTTCTAAATTTCTTGAGTGTGGGAGTTTCTGATGATGTTAATTTGGTTGTCTTCAGGGAACTGCAGATGAAGTAGTTGATTGTTCCCATGGAAAACAGCTGTGGGAACTCTGCAAAGAGAAGTATGAACCTTTATGGGTAAGTGGAGGAGGACATTGCAATCTTGAACTTTATCCAGAATTCATCAGACACTTGAAGAAATTTGTTCTGTCACTAGGCAAATCAAAAGCAGCCGTAAATGGTTCCAAAAAAACAGTAGTAGACTCTGACAATCAAAGCAAATCTTCCGAGACTGGACCTGCTGATACTTTTGAATTGGGTACTGACCTTCCAGAAGTTTCTAGGAACAGTTTAGATAGTCGACTTGAGAAGTCTAAGAGGTCAAATAAGCCTGAAAAATCACGGATGAGCACTGACCGCGTCGATAGGTTTAGGAGAAAGAAAGGCCTAGTCTGGTGATTATGACAGTGAGGAAGAGAGAGAGAGAGAGAGAGCACGGTAAAATAAGTTACATGCATTTACCCAATTGCAAAAGTAAATTAGTTTTCACTTCAGCTTTTATAAAATTGTATCAAATCCAGCATAAATTATCAGATCAAGTGTGAGTCTTGTAATAAATGTTGCAATTTTTCTGTATGTATGTTGAGAACACAAGTCAGAGTAAGTGAAATCTTTGAATCTTATTTCTTCTGTAAAACCACTTGCCTCGTTGGGAAAATATTGTATCTGTTTCAGTCATCAGTTCTCTCCCAGCTTTTTGGTTGCTTCCTCGTTGGCTCAGTCAACTGGTTGTTCTCTTGTGCTATCTTCCTGGTTGAGAAGGCAGAGATTTTTACCATCGTACACTTTTCTTTCGGGCAGAAAGAACTGTAATTACTTCGACGTTTACTGATAATGTTGATGTTTGGCATTCTTGTCCCAGTCACTGAACATCTATTAATAATATTTCACATTTTTTTTGTTATCATACTCTCAGCCATGTGTTTTCAAACACCAAAAATTTTACCTTATTTGAAATCAAGTAAATTTGTCCGTTGATCAAAAATGAAAGTTGAGGAGATGAAATAAAAGAAATGCTGTTTCGTTCATTGTAAACATATAATAACTAATATCTGCAGAGATACGCAGGATGATCTTGGTGAAGTCAATTCAACAATGGGTATTTATTTATTATAATTTTTTATTGCAATGACCGAGTCACGCTACTTGGTCAATAATCGATGTAGTAAACACTGAAGAGATCTTATCTGAAATTTCTGAAATTTTTCTTTTCAATGTACAGCTTCATAGTCGTTCATCTTTGTAGAATCGATTACATTCATCTCTTCTCAATATTTAAGCATCTTTCTCTGCCTGGGATCGGTTCTGTACAAGCTGGCGGCATGCTGTTTGATTTTCAACATCCTCATCTGCCCACCGAAATAGTTCTGTTCTTGGTCACCACAACCATATTCCTAAGCTATATCCCTGCCTCTGCCTTTGCTGCCGATGATCGCTTCTTGAATTGCAGCCGGCTAATAAGTTGTGGAGGCTTTCAGAATATCGGTTATCCATTCTGGGGATGGAGCAGGCCAGAGTACTGTGGGTTCCCAGGTTTCGAGCTAAGCTGTAGTGATGATCATGGCCCTGTAATCAAAATAATGGATGTGAGTTATCGAGTCATCAACATAGATAAGCAATCCCAATCCCTAACAGTTGCTAGATTAGATTATTCAGAAAATCTTTGTCCAAATCTTCTTTTCAACACCACTTTGAACACCACCCTTTTCAGTTTTAGGTCAGATAAGGAAGATGTCAGACTCTATTACAATTGCTCTCTGCCAACTTCGGCTGCAAATGTTGGCTTGCCCTTTGAATTTAGATGCGAAATAAACGGAACTGATGATCTATTAGGTTACTTCATGATGGGACTCGCACCATCCGGCAACCTTCCCAGGAACACTCCCATTGCACTAAGTGATGTTCTGGGTTCATGTGAAAACAGCGTGATCATTCCAGTAAATCAATTATTGTTGACCAATCAAAGTTCACAGAATCTGGTTAATGTTTTAAGTGCTGGATTTGGGCTGACATGGTCTGCAAATAATACTTGGTGCAAGCAATGTGAAGCCATGGGAGGACACTGGATTCAATAACACCTCCACTTGTTTCTGCGAAGACCAAATCTGTGATCTAATGGTAAATGGAAAGTACACCAAAAGG